AGCCGGGGGACAATATACAGCCTTGTCGTACTCCTTTCCCAATTTTGAACCAATCAATTGTTCCATATACACGCAAATGTGGTAGCCCAGCCGCATTTACACTCCTCCCCGCTGATTCTGTTGAGAGGGGCCTTGGCTTCTGGCCCCAAATCCCCTCCTGATGGACCCACTGTTTCCAGATGGCAGAAGGGCACTGAGTAGGAACGAACTCATAAAGGAGGAGCAGGAGCAAGAAGGAAGGACTTTAGCACAAACTGCTGGAGAGCTCAGTGGTTAAGGAGAAGTTAGGAGTTCAATTCCGCACCATGACTCCTTGACATGGGCTAGATTCCGTAGGGTCCCTTCCACTTCTACATTTCTAAGATGATGATGATACTGATGGGGAGGAAAAGGGCAAGTATTGGCACAGACATTCATAGCCTACTAAAAAGAAATTAAGATTATGAGATTCCTGAGTACTGATCACAATTTGAGTGGGTATAATATTAGGCATGGTTGCTTTCTCTGGTGATGTTTCCATTATCCCTGAAGAGTTAAGCTTATTCATGCCCTGTTGCTTTCAATTTGACTCTTATCTCTCTGGATTAGTTCTACAAGGTGAGCTGCAACAGCTTGTTGTAAACAGCCAACTTGCCCTACTCTTTGTAAAGTCAGGCAGATCCCTTTGACAGAGATTCTCAATCTAACTGAGGGCATCAAATCTGCAATTTCTTAAAATTTCCATTAGATTTCTCGGCACGGTGGGGGAGGGGAAGAATACAGTATGGGATTTTTCAGCTCGGGTGTCAAAAATGGCTGAGGCTAGCTCCGCCAAACAAGATCACCTCAGAACTTGGAAAAATAACTTTCCCTGAAACCTGACTACAACACCCTCAGTCCCACCACCACCACCACCACCCCACACACACAACGTTCATTTCTGGAGTGAATTGACACTTTCGTGATTTTAATGTGGAGAATGGGCGAACGTGACTGGATGCGCTGTAGGAGGTACTCTTTGAAACAAAATCCTGGATTTATTCCAGGTAAAATTTCCTCCCCGAGAAACTGCCTTTGATGAAACGGGGTTGGATTTGGGCTGGAGAAAACATCCCACCTCAATTTTTTGTTTCTTTAAAAACGCCTCATAAATATGTTTCCTCTTGAAAATGTTTGCAGCATTAAGCAATCTTTGACCGCACCTTTGGATGTTTTCAGCAAACAAGGTGAAGTTATGCAGAAATCCTCCCTCAAACCCAGCTCTGTTATATGTTTGAAAAAAATGGGCAACGGCCATGAACTTTTTTTAAAAAATAGGCTGAACAGGGATTTTCTTGTAGTTAAAGAAGAGCAGGGCTAGAACTGTTGGAGTAACTCAATGGTTTAGGTATGGTTGGGAGTTCAATTCCCCGCTGTGCTTCCCTGATAGGGATTGGATTCAATAATCCATAGGGTCCCTTCCTGTTTGGCAGTTCTTAAGGTTATTATTCTTACTGCCATGGAGAAAGAACATCAAGGGAGAAAAAACTTCAAGGCCCCTTCAGATCCCTTAATCTTCTAGTCTTTTTCCTTGCAGAGGTCTAAGGGATGGCGTAGCTATCTTGCATCCAGGGAGGAAGAAATTTCCTTCAAATTGGTTGACATTTAATTAAAGCTACTTTATTAACTAAAAGCTTGCACGCCCATTAACATTGCTTGTATTTAGGGTGGGGGTTTTGTCGGTTTGTTTTGCTGTTTCCCATCACTTCATCCAACGTTATTGTTTATGGTGTTTCTACGTCACAGTACACATTTCTAGGTGAGGAAGTTTGTAGAAATTCTCTTCATCTAAAATGTTTACATGAACAAGCCTCTCACCTGACATTCAAAGGTGAAAACAACCTGGATGTTAACCACCCTGAAGAACATTATTCTTATCCCAATTTCAGAAGCAAAGCAGGATAAGTTGTGGTTTGTACTGTACTTTCAAAGACTAGCACAAAACACCAATCCAGGTTGTGCTAGGGAAGAATCTAGCCTGAAACTCTGGAGAGTAGCTGTTGACAGTCAGAGCTGACAATATTGGATTAGATGGGCCAACAGTCTCACTTAGGATAAGCCTGTCTTTGTTTTATAGGTGTGCATGTGTGTGCATACGTATGTATGCTTAAGTATATATTTGATGTCAGGTGAACAACTGAGAAAGACAGATATTGTAGACTGGCGCCAATACCAGGAAGGCACTCCTTCATTTGGAGTACCAAAAGAAGACCCTTTGATCATGTCATTTGAGTACAGGCAGGCTGATAGGGTGGTAGGACCAACTAAGTACTCAGAGCAGCATAATGACTTCTCTTTTTTGGACTACAGTTCCCAGAATTCCCTAGCCAGCATGGCTGAATAGGTAACGTTTCCAAGATCTGCAGGTATGCTGCTCCCAAGCTGGTTATGGCCAACCGTCATCCTTTTCAGTTACGCTCAGCAACGTTTGCCCTTAAAACGTTCTAACACAGATACTTAACTCATCTTTTGCCCTTTGCCACTTACCCATCCCCTTCTCCTCCAGTTTCACCTGGTTGTGTGGCCAGGTCCATCGGAACATCCTCTGCAAGTTAACTGGCCAAGTGGTGGAGCTTTTTGATGAAGAATTCCGGCACCTCTATGCCTTGTCCAAGCCTGTGGCAGGGCTGAGACCTCCATCACACACCTCGCCCTTCTGGCTCAACAAAAGCACGGCAGCCACCCAAGGCAGCGTGAGCAACAGCAGTAACCGAGGAAGCATCCGGACCCCATCAGACCCCTTCAGCTCTCTGTCAAACAACAGTGCGTCACCAAACAGGCAGCCTCCAAGGACTCCTCTTTCTAACAGCCACCCCATGTCACCCTCCCCTCTCCAGAGGGTCCACTCTTTCCATGGGTACACTACCTACATGACCAGTCCACCTCCACCAAATGGTATCCAGGTCAACTACTACCAGCGGCAGTACATCAAGGATTCACCCGCCGTTCTGTACAACAACATTAACATTTACAGGCCTATGAGAAGGAGACAAGAGGACTTCAACAGGGCACAGATGAATCCAGTCTGGAGATGTCTTCAGAAAGCCAACCTGATCGGATGATTGCGTCGAGGCTGCAAGAATTCAAAATCCAAGGATGAGGAGAAATCCTAAACAGAGAGATGTGTGGATAACTGGATTCATGATTTTGAGGTAAAGGTAAAGGTTCCCCTTGACAATTTTTGTCCAGTTGTGTTCGACTCTAGGGAGCGGTGCTCATCCCCATTTCCAAGCCATAGAGCCAGCGTTTGTCCGAAGACAATCTTCCGTGGTCACATGGCCAGTGCGACTTAGACACGGAACGCCGTTACTTTCCCACCGAGGTGGTCCCTATTTATCTACTTGCATTTGCATGCTTTTGAACCGCTAGGTTGGCGGGAGCTGGGACAAGCAACGGGAGCTCACTCCGTTGCGTGGATTCGATCTTACGACTGCTGGTCTTCTGACCCTGCAGCACAAGCTTCTGCGGTTTAGCCCGCAGCGCCACCACATCCCGTGATTTTGAAGAGTCTGCTATTCCAGAGCTTTATGCTAATCCAGGAGCAGATGTTTCATGACCTTCAACAAGAGTGGCACCCTTCTCTAAGTAGACCTTCCTTCCTTCTACAGCAGTGAGTGCCTCACACATCCTTCTGAATCTGGTACCCTCCAGATGAGTTGCACCTCCAGCTCTCACCACAGGAGAGTACAAAGTTAGGAGAATCTCCTCTAGTTCATCCATATATACATTCACATAAAGAATAGTGTGTGTCTTTGTAAGAAAGAGGGAATGAGAGAGAGTCCCTCGTAAGACTGCATTTGAAAACAGTATATATGACCATTTCTGGACTGTGCCATTTCAGACTAGAGGAGAATCGAAATAATAAATGTTTTTGGAGAAAAAAATCCCAGGACCTATAAAATCTGATACCAGCTTTTATTTGAATATGGTAATATGGGATATATTGACAAGTGTATACCCCCCTTGAGGGAAGGATTAAACTATGCTTCATCTATCCCAGTTTCCGTAACTCTGATGTGGGACGATGCAGATATATTTTAACCACCTGTTTGTATAAACTAGGGTAGATTATTGCATAGGCATATTAAGTCAGAAGAAGTTTCACAGTGTTTCGGGTGTGACCAAGGAGGAAGACTTTTTAAAAAGATATATATCTAGGAATACATGTAAAAGATCTTATCTAACATATCTATATACTGTATAACTACTCATTTATACTGTACTTGTTATTTCAGTACACAATAAATCTTTTCCAGAAACACTTGGCTATTGTGGCTTTCACATCTGCACATACCCTGATGTCTTAATTCATTATGATACCAATGTGACAGCGATCAAACCACACTCTGCGTTAAAGGGAGACTCTTTAGAGGCCGTGAAGTGTTGTAAACCAGCATACCTCTACGACTGTACTGTACTGAGGTAAAAAATAAACACATGAATACCAAAATCCCTTAAAACTATTTTTAAAGAAGTGAGATGTATATTGGGGGAGACGGTGGAAGCATGGATAGCTCAGTGGGTATTTACTAGCTGGAAAATAATGAAAAGTGTCACCCTAAGTCAACACTGACTTGACCGTATGTGACTATTTATGTATTAAGTGAAGGGGCCTTTTCCATCTCTCTTTGATGAAAAATATCTTCAAAATGAAAAGGCCTGCCTGCAATTTTGCTGTATAAGTGCCACGGGGCATGGGTACGCTCTCTAAGAATAACTGAAATATCCTTAAAGAAATGCAGTAGAATTTAATCTTCCAGAGATAAAATGGAACACAAGAGTCAATCGCCTCTGCTCCAGGTTCTTCAAAATTTAATTATACAGACTGGTGCTCACTGTAACTACATTTAAAGTGACTAAAAATCAATCCATAAATACTACAGGGAGGAATGAAACATTACAACCACACACTTAATTTTCTAGAATGTGTATTGTTCTGAAGTAAAAACAAAAGAAATACCTAAAGCTGCTTTCGCTGAATCTGGAACAGTCCTAAAGCTAATCACCGCCTATTATACTCAGAGCAAATCATTCTAAGGAAGAAAATACCAACATGTGGGATACAAAACAGAAGACAGGCTGTCATTCGTCTTTGCCCTTTTAAGAAAACATTTTAAGTAAGTAAATAAATAAAGTCTTGCTTGAAAGATTTCACAGGAGTCTCATGTGCCACCAGAGGATATATTCCCCACTCTATTAAATACGATTCTTCAATCAGTGTTGTAAATGTTTATTTAAGTGTTTATAAGTAAATCATATAAAGTGAATCATGGACGGTCTTATTTTATTCATTCAATCTGTTGTTCTTTGGTAACATTTATATTTGCTTATGTATCATCATGTTAATCAAGGTGTTTATTCATTTCTTATCTTCTTCTCTATCTCTCTGTTCTTCTCTAACACAAGACTGGTCCTAACTGCCTAAACTGCTTTTCTCCAACTCATATCCCTAACTCATCCCTAACTGACTTCAAACTGAAACTCTAACTGACTTCCATTCTTCTTATACTTCCTTAGCCCCGCCTCTTCTGCACAACTATTGGCTCCCGAATCAGGGCTCCACGGTGATGGACAGGAGTGGTTACTGACCTGTCCATCACAGCATTTCTCTTAAATGCCTCCTGCGTTGGAACACTCACCATCTCTGGAGGTCATTGGTTCCATTGTTCTACTGCTCTAAGTTAGGAAGTTTTTTTCTGATATTCAACCAAAATCTGGCTTCCTATAACTTGAGCCCATTGTCGTGTGTCCTGTACTCTAGGTTGATTGAGAACAGATCTTGCCCGTCCTCTATGACAGCCTTTCAAATATTTGAAAAGTGCTATTATATCATAGAATCACAGAACCGTCCTAGGGTTGGAAGGGACCTTGGAGGTCTTCTAGTCCAACCCTCTGCCCACGGCAGGAGACCTCCTACTATCCCAGACAGATGGCGGTCCGATCTTTTCTTGAAAACCTCCAGCAATGGGGCATCCACAACATTGGGAGGCCAGCTGTTCCACTGCTTAATGGTTCTCACCATCAGGAATTTCCTCATTTCCAGGTTGGATCTCTGACGAGTTTCTATCCATCGGTTCTTGTTCTACCCTCAGGCACAACGGAGAATAAATTGATGCCCTCTTCCCTGTGACAACCCTTCAGATATTGGAAGACTGCGATCATGTCTCCCCTCAGTCTTCTTTTCATTAAGCTAAACATAACTAGTTATTTTAGCCTCCAGTTCCCTTAACATCTTTGTTGTTCTTCTCTGCACCCATTACAGGGCTTCATCATCTTGATAACTAGTTATTTTAGCCTCCAGTTCCCTCAACATCTTTGTTGTTCTTCTCTGCACCCCTTCCAGGGCTTCATCATCTTTTTTGTATTGTGGTGACCAGACGTGGACACAGCACCCAAGTGTGGCCTCACTAGCATGGAATAGAGTGGTAATATCACTTCCCGTGATCTTGATGCTATTCCTGTTGATGCAGCCTAGGACTGTGTTGGCTTTCTTGGCAGCTGCATCACACTGCTCACTCATCCTTAGGCAATGGGCCACCAGGACATCTAAAACCCTCTCACAGGTACTACTGTCAAGCCAGGTACCGCCTATCCTGTACCTGTGCATCTGGTTTCTCCTGCCTAAGTGCAGGACCTTACTTTTCCTGCCACTGAACTTCATCTTATTGGATGAGTTGGAATCTCCCCCCTGTCTTTTTTTCCTCAAGGCTAAATAAACATGCCCAGTTCTTTCAGTCTTTCCTCACCGGACTTGGTTTCCAGCCCCTGATCGTCCCTGTCGCCCTCCTCTGCAGGTTCCTGATCATCCTTGTCGCCCTCCTCTGAAGGTGTTCCAGTTTGTCTACATTCTTCTTACAGTGTGGTGTCCAAAACTGGACACCGTGCTGAAGATGAGGCCTAACCAGTGCTGAATAGAGGGGAACTAGCACCATGTGGGACTTGGAGACTATACTTCCGTTAATTTGGATTCTGCTCTGAGCAGGGGGTTGGACTCAATGGCCTTATAGGCCCCTTCCAACTTCATTATTCTATGAACCTAAAATAGCATTTGCCTCTAATAAATAAACTTAATTGAATGTATATCGAATAGAGCAACATATGCTTCCCAAGCTTCTGTTCCTGTCATTTTGGTATCTCCATATTGTGCATTTATTGCCCTTTTACACCGTTGATTGGACCCTAATTCTACCACCAAATCATAAACCTCTTCATTTAGCAAGTATTTTTCATATTCCTTTCCCCCCATAATATTCTCTACATTTGGTTTCAGTGCAGTCACATATAAAGTGATCATGATAACCATAGTTACGCCAAGAACAAAACCAAACCAAAAAAACCCCCAACCTTCTGACTGAGGAAAACTTTAGTGTAAAAAAGGACACATGCTCTTTATTCTACATATAGAATTTCTGATCCTTTCCAGGTGGGCAGTGTGAGTAGATCCAAAACAATAAAGAGCGGAACTATCTGTCAACCCCCTACTCTGGGCACGATGCGCCAAAACAGCAAAAATGAATAGGCCACCAGTCCCAAAGTGTGGGCAAGGGGCACAATCTTGGCTAGTCCCTTAGGTCAATGCATTAATGAGCTCACCAACCTACCTAATAACCAAGGCACTTGTATGTAAACAGCACAGCCTGCCTTGGAGAAAGCTAAGTCATTCAGTCAATCAAACTGTGAGAGGGCTTGCTCCAGGTGTGTGATGCAACTTTCAGTCCTTCTCCGGTCAGAGTAAAACACCGGTAGTTTGGCTAAGCACATTCCTTGACCCACATCCATACAAGCCCTGTTAACAACCAGGATAAAATGAAAGACAGAAAAAGGAACTCCATGTTAGCCAAACTGCATTCAAGTCCAGCAGTCCAAGTGAGAAAAGTTCTGTTTGAGCTTGTGGAACCACTTTCTTTCAAACTCCTCAGTGGCTGCACTCAAGAGGGACGTCAAGGCTGAAGCCCCAATGCATTTCACCTCTCCCTGAGCATCTTCTTTCAGCTTTTCCGGGACAAGATCCTCTCCCATCATCTGCAAGGAAGAAGGTGAAAGGCAACCAATGAGCAAAGTCATAGATTTCTCTTTGAGAAAAGACATGGAGGTGTGGGGCCTTATAGAGAGAAATTGGGACAATGGCTTAACATGCAGAAGGCCCCTGATATGGCCACTTAACAGATCAGGAACAAGTACAGTGGTGCCTCGCTCAACGGGTGCCCCGTTTAACGACGAATCTGCATAGCGACAATTTTTTGCGATCGCATTGCGATGTTTTTAATGGGAAAAAATTGCTTTGCGATGATCGGTACCCTGTTTCGCTTACTGATCATCGCATAGCGATGATTTTCTAACAGCTGATCGGCGATTCCAAAATGGCCGCTGGGTAAACAAGATGGCCGCCCAGTGTGTTTTCGCTAGGATTCCTTGTTTACCAGGCAGCAAAAATGGCCGCCGTATGGAGGATTTTCACTTAAACGTGAGTTCTAAGCCCATAGGAACACACTGAAGGTGTTTCAATGCATTCCTATGGGCTTTTTAAAACCGCATAGCAACAAAATCGCTTTGCAGCAATTTTTGCTGCAAGGATTATCGTCGCTATGTGGAGCACCACTGTAATGGGAAAGCCCTCTCTCAGCCTAAGCCCCTTCAGAAGCTGCTGCCAGTTAGTGGGCAACACTGCATAGCTTGCTGAATAGCCTGCCATGATAAAAAGCAGTCTCTTATACTGCTGTGTGTGCCAATTCCACATGGTAGGTACAACTGTATATACGTTTGTTTGAGAATGCATGGTGAATGATTGCTAGTGGTAGGTTGCATGTGCATCAGTCCAGTCTAAGAGAGAAAGCTATTAGATAGTTTGCTATTAGAAAATATTAGAAAAAAGCTGAGGCATCTGACTTTGGGAGGAAGCTGTGGAATCTAATGTATGTTCTTGTTGTAACTTGTATGGCAACAAGCATCCACAAGGACAAACATACAGATAGAACAGAATGTGCTGAAACTGTAAAGAGACAAGTGAAAAGTTAATGAGATTATAAGCTATCCGATGAAAACCTTGACAGATTTTAACTCTGAAATATTTATTATGCACACCACTGACAAATGTTGGCATATAGGATGTGTGTGTTTCATCAAAAGTTTTTTTTTCTTTTTAAGGGCAATGTAAACACCCCTTAGCTATGGCAGTACTTAAGCCGTAGTGGAAAGGGATCACTAATTGTGCAGGGTTAGAACCGAGGACCATTTAGGGTTAGAACCATTTCAAGGAAGCAGATTTGGCTAACTTTCCTTGACTGGAAATACTTAAGTCACAGAAATGCTGTTGCTCTAAAACTCCTACACTGAGCAGAGGAAAGGACCAAATGTCCTCCAACTATACCATGTGGAGGACCATTTAGGGTTAGAACCATTTCAAGGAAGCAGATTTGGCTAACTTTCCTTGACCGGAAATACTTAAGTCACCTGTCAGAAATGCTGTTGCTCTAAAACTCCTACACTGAGCAGAGGAAAGGACCAAATGTCCTCCAACTATACCATGTGACCGTCACATGAGTCCATTACCAATTCTGACCATTTCAGGCCGCAGCCTGCCATGCTTCCAGGTTGCTTCCTGAGTGGCTGATAAGAACAAAATGATAGGATGCAAATTTGCTGGACATGAATAGTTTTTCCAACCCTAACCCGGGGAACATGGGAACTGTAGTTCAACATATCTGAAGGGCTCTGGGTTAGGAAAGGAGGCAGTAATGCATAAAACCTCGACTTGCCTCAGTTACCACGGACAAAGCTTGTTCCTTCAGCTCCATAGATGCCAACCGGTCTTCAATTTCTCGCTGTGCTTGTAAGTTTCTTTCTAAAGCGAAGGAAGATTGGTTCGATTCCGTGAGCTGAAACAAGAGCCTGGGGATAGAAAAGAAAACAAAAACTGAAACTTATATGGGCAGGTCATAACTGCTCTGATAGTCAAAACCAACGAGAGATAACATCAGTGAGTGAAAGTTTGGCTTGAACCGTGGGGGGTTGCCATAGTTTCCACAGGATCATGTGCTAATGAAGCCATTCAAAACCTTTTTCCGGGCCAAATCAAGATCATGTAAGTCGAATAACGAATCTTATAAGGTGGGGTTTGAAGAACTGTTATCCTCTATGGCTCTGTTCAAATGGGCTAGGGTCCCCCAGGGGACTACATGGCCCCTGTGGGGAAATGCCTGTTCTAGTGGGAGAGTACCAGTTCTTTCCATGTGTCCCTTTATATATATGCTGATGTGGTTTGAAGAACTGTTATCCTCTATGGCTCTATTCAAATGGACTAGGGTCCCCCAGGGGGCCACATGGCCCCTGTGGAGAATGCCTGTTCTAGTGGGACAGCACCCGTTTTTCCATGTGTCCGTTTATAAATATATGTGCTGATGTCAGCTTTAGGGATGGTTCACACGTAACACAGTTCGTTTTGCTGTTCAAACCACCACCAAACAAACCATGGTTTCCAAGAAGCCGCAAGGCCAGCAACCACACTCATCATGTGACTACGCTATACAAGGGCAACGTATTTTGGCTGGTTCACACGTAACACAGTTCGTTTTGCTATCCAAACCACCACCAATCAAACCATGGTTTCCAAGAAGCCGCAAGAACAGCCAGCAGCCACACTCATCACGTGACTACACTAGACGAGAGCAACGTATTTTGGCTAGAATAAGTCCACTGACATGTTCTACCAACGTTAATTAAGAAACGCATTTTACCGACCTCGGAAGGATGGAAGGCTGAGTCAACCTTGAGCCGGCTACCTGGGATTGAACCCCAGGTCGTGAGCACAGTTTTAGCTGCAGTACAGCGTTTTAACCACTGCGCCACGAGGCTCACTGACCCTCAAGCTAACATGTTCTCCCAACATTAATTAAGAAACAGCAGGGGAGTCATGATCTCTGCCAGGTCTGTTTCGCTCCTAAGATGAGAAATGTAGAAAGGTATTGTACATGACATATACTGCTTGTCTACTAGTGGGCAAAGTGTGACCCAGGGCCCACACGTGGCTTCCAAAGCTGTTTTTTGTGAACTCTACTTTTTGTAGCAAAAGATAAAGATGAATTATAGGTCCTAAAAATCTCCGTAAGTGACAATGTACCTTTTAAATAACTGCAAAGCTGTTTTTTGTGAACTCTACTTTTTATAGCAAAAGCTAAAGATGAATTAAATGACAATGTACCTTTTAAATAACTAGCAGGCCCTCCCTGCACTGTTTAACACCCCCAAATACCCATTTTTAAAACCTTCTAGCTGCTTCTGGTTCCATTTTCTGTATTTGGGGGTCTTTTTCATCCTATGAGTGGCCCCTGGATAACGGGTAGCATGGAAACCTGGCCCACAGAGGAGCAGAACCTGTCATCCTAGTACTGTAGTACTATACCTTGCTCTAACAAAAGAAGCACATGCGTATATCCAAATGTCTTGCGGCCGTTCCATGGAATCACAGTCAGCAGTCTTCATTTTGTGGTGTGCTTCTGATTTCCCCAAGGCACTAGGGAGTCCCACTCTTCTTTGGCCTTCCTCGCAAGACCCAAAGCTGCCATTTGTTTTGGGAGAAAACCACGAAGATGCATCATTCCCCAAACTGTGCTTCTTGCGACATTGGAAGTTGGCTGCAGCTGATGAAACGGGGAGAGAGTCCCCTGTAGCTGAGACACCACACTGATGGGGATCAGTCTCTGACCCTGGAAATAGGGCCGGGGGCTTCAAAAGTCTCCTATAAGCCTCAGCAAGCAGCTTCCAGTTCCCTGGGTGGAAAGGGTGTAATGCAATGAGTTGCTGCAGGCCCTCTATGATCTTCCCACTATGTTCCAGAATGCGGAAAATAACAAGCTGCAAGCCTAGCACAGTGGTCATGTGGTCAGTATTGGTTGCCCCATTTTTCTAGAAATAAAGAAAAAATCAAAATATAAGAAAAATAAATCAATAATATATAAAAGAATCTGCTGAAAAACAACAAAGTCTCATCACAACAATAGTTACTATGGCATGAAACCGTGCAATGAAATGAACTGTGTCCATGAAAACTGATGCTGTGGCAACTCTGTTGGAACATAACATGCCACAAGAGACTGCGTTGTTTTTGCTGCAACAGATTTACAGAGACAGATATTTAGAAAATGGGCTGGTGGAATATCTTCCTAAACATGAAAAACACACTCAACCACCTAAAAAGAAAATAAATAAAGAACATTCATTAGGTGAAGCCAAACTATAAAACTGAAAATACTGAGGTCAATTTAAATTGCACCCAACGACAGATCCTACCATAAGGTAAACGATATGATTTTATCCACATCTCTGCCCATGGCTATGTATTAGAGTTCCCAAGGTATCCCTAGATACCTCTCCCCCCACCTCGATTTCCTCAATAATCAAGCACACCCAAGAAGTCTCCTGGAGGTACAGTTGTTGTTTTAAAGGCTATCTTCCACCCTCACCCCTGTTTTACACTCCAACAATGTTTAATCACTTCCAGTTTTAAAACAAGGGCCAAATGCAGTCTGCTGCAGTCCCAGGACGAAAAATAAGGCAGAGTCACCCCTGTAAATCCTCATCCTGCCAATACAGTGGATATAGCAGAAATGGGAGGATATTTTCTTGGAACAGATTAGAGATAAGCATGAACCACAGTTTGGCCCAGTTCAGCACACTTGTTCTGCAAGTGCCATGTGCTTCCCTCCCTGCCTACTCTGCACGATCGCCCATTCACCAGCAGCAATGTACACTTCCTTGCTCTGCCTCCTCTAGCAGCCGCCCACTCAGATGAGGAGGCAGGGCAGGGAAGCTCACAGTACTGCCAGTGAGTGGATGATCACACAGAAGAGGCAGAGGAGGAAAGTGTGCTGCTGCCAGTGAATGGGCAATCGCGCAGGGTAGGGAAGCACGTGGCCCCCACAAACACCTGTGCAGGTGTGGCGCCAAACCGCAGTTCATGCTCATCCCTAGAAGTGATCATAAGAAATGTGGTTGGTAACCACATCCTTCAGAAAATGATTTTTTTCTGCATTGACAGTCCTGAAGAATTCTGATCAAGATAGCCTTTCAAGAGAAGGAAATGGGAAAACTACCAACCAGCTTTTCTGCAATCTCCAAAGCTTCCTTAGGCCTCCTCAGCTGAGCTAAGCAGCGAGCCTGGCTCTCCAGCACGTCTCTTCTCATGGCAAGATTGCTAGGAGGCAACAGGGCAAGGCAGTCCGAATACTCGGCCAGGGCCTTCTGAAAGGCGAGATGAAAACACTAAGCTGAAATGTTGTATAGTTCTAGAAGACTAAGTCAACTACGGTCTGGTAAGGTAATAAAACGGAAGGCAAAATCAAGCTCCAAAATGGGTAACAATATGTTTGCTTAAAAAGCATGAGCAAGTTTAAGGTTCAAGTAACTCAAATTGGTGGCTTATGAAACCTTGAAGTACAGGATCCATTAGGTCACCATTATTAATACTAATTCACATTCTTAATCCAATGTTGCTAGAGCAGGATTTATTACATTATTAGGCCATTTGATTATATTATTATCCCACTGTTTTCTCAAAAGTTTTCTAGAGCAGAGTAATATCAGGAATGTGACAGTCCTTACCTGAAGGCCTGCAGTTTTTTTAAAAAAGTAAAACAAAAGGAAATTGGGAAGAGGGAAAAAGGAAGCTGAGGTGCCAGCTTCTTCATTATAAAGTTCAACAGATAGTAAGTAACATTCAGGTATTCTTTTTAAACAGTGTGAGGGGTGCTGTTTTCTCTCCCTGGTAGTGTGATTCTGCCACTTCCCAGTGTACAGCACTGACTGGCCAGCATCTGTGTGGCATACTGTAAATCTGTCTCTCCACCTCTCTCTAAACAGTTCTAGTGCTGTCAAAACATACACAGTTCTTTAAAAGTATTGTACAAAGTTTGGATTATGTTTACATTTTAACTACACTTTGAACAAAAGATCTAGCTCACAGGTTTGTTGTGAGGGTAAGGTTGGAAGGAAAATAAAAGCTGGATAAAATTTAATAATTAGATAAGGCTTATTAAGAAAACCATAGGGTTTGGGGAAAACTAATTTATCAAGGTTTTCATTGGGCATGTAACTATTGGATTGTGAAGACGAGAGAAGCTGGATTGGCTCTGTAAGAGAAGAAAACGTGGTCTTAATCGACTAGATAGGCGGGATATAAATAGAATAAATAAATAAAAATAAATAAATAAAAGTATGCAAAGGTTTAAAAACCGTTTGGTTCAAAAAGTAGAATATATACCAGAAACATTTTAAACGTAAACTCTCTAGATGTGCATGGGAATTGTGGAAAGACACACTCATTGCTTATTGTAGAACAAAGAGAAATCTTTGAACACTGGGAATAGTTGAAAACTTCCTCAACCATGTTCAGCACACAAATACGCCTTTTCACTTTGGGGAGTGACTTCTGTAAAACACATCCTGCAGGTTGCCAATCACTTTCCACCAATTTAAAGTGACGTGTAAAGCCACATATTGGCTAGCATGGATAACGTCAGACACATGTTTTTCATCCCTATCGTTTTATAATTGGGGCAGTGGATGTTGTTGCTGTTGCTGTTGCTGTTGTTGTTGTTATTATTATTATTAGTATTAGTATTATTAGTATTATTATTAGTATTGTTAGTATTATTAGTATTATTATAGCATCAGGAGCTGTCTCCAGGCGACCTAACCACTGAACATGTCAGGACAGGGTTAAAGTCTTTTTCTGTAAAGTAGACTATAAAGTCACCCCTATGGTGCCAAAGTCAATGCATGGAGCTGGGACTCAGGAGACGTGGGTTCAAATCCTCCCTCCATCACGAACCTCAAGGGTGTGATCTTGGGCCACTCACACTCTCTCGCCTTGTCCTACCTCACAGGGTTCCTGTGAGGGCCAAGTGGAGAAGAGGCCAAGAACCCCGTGCGCTGCCTTGAACTCGCTACTTAGAGGAAAAACAGGTTATAACGATCACTGATAATAAGGCGTGCCATATCACCCAAAGAATGCATGCAAATTGCCCTATTAGCGAAGTCTTCCCTTGCCTCCCTCCCCCGTTCCAAAAGGCTCCCAAATAGGAGCTTGCCTCTGAGCATGTGCAGAGTTTATTACCCTTTTCTCTAAACCAAACGATGACACTAGAGTTTAAGGGACTGCAGCTCTCGGGACCCCGTTACTCAATTAAATAAAAAGGGGGCAGAAGGCATATCCTTCCACTCACCTCCGGCTCACAGCACCGGGCGCTGTATTCAAGGGAAGAGCGCCCTTCCCGCTGCCGGCCGCCTCCCTCGAAGACGGACTCCTCGAACTCGGAGCCCAGCGGCAGCTCCATCCCGGCAGCGAAGGCAGGGGAGAACGACTGCGCCGGAGGCTCGCTTGCTAGAGCGGGTCCCCTTCATGGGTCATTGAAGACAGCCCCGTGTCCTGCCTAGAGCGGCTCTTGAGTACAAGCGTACTCTCATAGAGGTATGCACCCTACTTCCAAGGGTAGACTCACACGTTGCTTCGCACTTCCGGGTCGACTGTGGAAGAGGCGCTGTTGTCTTCCTCGAGGCGCGCCAGAAGTGGCAGAGAAAACGGCTTGGCATCCAGGATTGTAGGGTATCTCTCGTTGGGCAGCAGCCCTCCATGGCCAGTGGTGCCTGTTCTCATCCAGGCCTGATTTTTGCACAAATATGTACATTTCCCCCCTCCTGTCTGAGTCAGTGGACTTGATCCAGGAAAGCTCATATTAACATATATTGGCAGCCCAATAAATGGGATGAGCCACTGTTGCATTTGTAAAATATAGCTGTTACTTTTTAAGGTACCAATTTGTCCTTCTGTCTTTTCTAATCCTTGCACACACTTAACAGTATCTTGACTTTTCAGCAGGCAATATGCACATCTTCAACTCTCATTTTTAAATTCCTCTCCTAAGGACTAGAAACTTGGGTACTGGTAACAAAATCCAACCCAACTCATTGTTGCAGAGCCACAGGGCAGTCTCTGGCTAAAGGTGTTAGTAGTGTGTGTGATTCTTTTTTCACAAGTACAGCTTGTCTGATCCAAGCAAAGGTAGAGCATTCTTTGGCCTTTGAAAAGCAGGCACAGCTACATCTGAACATACTTACAAAGTTACTTGGGGGGGGGGTGCCACAAGCAACATATTCTGATAATCGTTTTGTATTTTCAAGGGAATTAGAAAAGGCCAGGAGAGGAAACAAGAGTATGTTTCCCTGTATTTTTCTGGCTTGCAGAACACACTGATTATGCAAGTCACAAAATCTCTTTAGTGAATAGAGCAATTATAATAATAATAATCGCTGTTGCAATAAATAACTTGCCCCAGGTTCTGCCTGGGATTGGCTTCTTATGCATGTCCGTGGCTTCCTGCCCATCTAAGCCACAGGCAAATATGATCATGTGCCTCAAAGACCTGTAAAAGGAAAACTGGAGAAGGCTTGACTTGCAGTGAAGCGAGCACTTTGGCTATTTGCTCCAATAAAAATGCCTCCACTCTTAAAAATCAGTTGTCTTCTCGACTTTATATGCTTTGTGTATCTTAAAAGGATACGGAGGAAAAGCAGGGATTTCTATTCAAATAAACATGTTTTATGGCTCCTGCTTTCACAGAGTGGGGGAGAGCAGGACGAAACATGCAGCAAAAGGGCAAGCAATGTTATTTCTACTCATTACAGTGGTGCCTAACTAGACGATGATAATCCGTTCTGCTGAAATCGCTGTTTAGCGAAATCATTGTCTAGCGAAAAGCATTTCACCATTGGAATGCATTGAAACCTGTTTAATGCGTTCCAATGGGAAAGAATCGTCGTTGTCTAGCGAAGATTGGCCATAGGAAAGCCGCTTTGCGAATCACCGATCAGCTGTTTAAATCACTGTCTTGCGAAGCTTAGGTCCCGAAAACGCCTGTTTGTGAGTGCGGAGGGAGCTGTCAAAATCTTTGTCTACCGAAAATCGGTTTGCGAAGCAGGGACCAAACATTGTCCAGCAAAACTCCCCCATAGGAATCACTGTTTTGCGAATCGCTATAGCGATCGCAAAAAGTAAATGTCTAGCGAAAAAACTGTCATGTGGGGTAACTGTCTAGCGAGGCACCACTGTATATTTTTGGTATCTGCAGGCTACTTTTACCACTTCTTCCATTTTTGGTATCTGCAGGCTACCTTTAGCAACCTCTTCCCTACCACATTTCTTCTTTCTTAAAAAAAATCTGAAATATTACAAAGCTTTCAATACAATAGTACAGTATCTGCTCTGAAAATCATCCACACCTACAGAATCCATAGGGCCATGCTATTCAGGAAGAACACTACATGTATGCATGCTATTTAGGAAGAATACATTTCCCGTGTGTGTTATCAGCAGCTGCAGAAATACGTGTGCAAAATCCAATATTTGTATATATCCAGATAAATAAGACACAGGCATACTGATTATGTTTCCTTGTTTCTAGGATCTTTTACTCTGTAAAAGGTTTGGGTGCTCAAAGCTATACGTTTAAATTGCATATTAAAGGACACAGGCAGTTAAGCCCATCTTCATACTAAGAACATACAGGACTGATGTAAACCAGACAAAAATCTAGTAGTTCCCATTTTGGATAAAGTTCTGGATACAAATCTGGAAGTCTCCTTTGTGTAACAGAAGCATTCCATTTAAAAATCTGACACACACATTCTGCTTCTTAAGAAACGGCCATTTAACCAGTCTTGTTTACTGTGTAATTCTGCCAATTTGAAGCCATTTAAAAAGGGGGGGGGACTTTGGCACAATATAGACAGCCCAATCCTTGTGGCGCAGTACAATCCCAGGGGTCTGATTTATTTCTTGGTTCCACCAAAAGATCAGGAATTCCCCCCACCCCACCTGTTCCCAGTTCACTAAAGCTCTTGAACTCGTATCCTCTCTCCCACTCCATGTTTTTCATTAAACTGGCTTCTCCTTCAACACTTTTAAGCAGCTAGAGAAGAAGTAAACACTAAGTTGCTAAGTAATCAAAGGGGGAAAATGCTCACTGCCATGGCATCTAATAGCACTTGGCAGCTGAAATTATAATACACTAGGAAAACAGATTTAGTAGCATGCTACATGCTGATCTCAGATCTTGACTTGCACTTATAGCATCACCGTGCTCACGATCCAAAAACATCGCAGTTTTGTTATTGCAACTGCAAACTTGGACAAATAAGGTATTCGTACATTAACTGAAAACCCTGTAGGAGCTTAACCAAAGTAAATTTTATTTGTTCTGTTCCTTTGTGGTATACTGTTTAATTCTTTTACTCCGCATTACACCCGCATTTTTCATCTCCAGAGCTAGCAATTAGGGCACTGTATTTTCCAGAATTTGAGAAGACAGCCGTGTTGGAAAACAGGCTCTGACAGGACGTCCTGGGCTTCAGCAGAGAATAATGCTAGTCATGGCTTCTCCGTGTTGTGCTTGTAACATTATCTCTTTTTCTACTGTTAGAAAATACGGTATGCAAACAAATACAGGTCAGAACAATATTCCACGGTGTACTGTCAAACCAACAAAGCTTTGCAAAAACTTTAGTAACCGAAATACCAAATAGAAAGAACATTACTATAATGCAGAGCTAAAATGCTTTCCACTGCCAGAAAGCAAAATAATGTGCATCCTGAAAAGCATCATCTGAAGAAGACACAATGAGATCTCCAATTCAGCCACAGGCTATGGACCATGAAATGCGGGAAGTCTTCCTAAATAAACCAAATTGATATCCGTGTGAGAAGTCCTCAGTGGCCTGTAAAGCTTCCTCAGGTCTTAACTGGTCTGCATGAACATAGCATGAACCACGCACTATACTTTGCATGTGGCAAGCCATTCAGCTGGTTAAGGGATTTGAATCAATCACTGGCTCCTTAGCTTAATCACAATTAAGATACAATCATCATATTTGCATACTGCTGATCTCTTTTATAAAAATATCTTTATGGAAAATATAATCAAGTGTTGTGGCAAGTTAAAATCCAATAAAAATATGCCATGAGATTTTATGAATTACAGACTATTAAGGCCTTAGAGACTGTATTTATTATAGGCGATACCATAATAAATGTGTTTGCCTTCAAGGTGTCATAGGACTCTTTGGTTAATATCCAGTGTTGGATACTAACACTGGCACTTTCCCGCACCAACGACATCCTCCATATCACCCTGATAACTTATTCTGGAGGGCCAGGAAACCCTCTGGAGTTGGTTTTGAGGCATCTTCAAGGTCTGAAGAGAAGGGGAAAAGGAGGTTCTCTCATACCATGTGTCAGCATCAGTGTAACACAGGATTATGATCTTTGTTGCTTCTGTTAACAAGAGATGAACAAGAGTTCCCTCTTGGGAAATGGTAATCTTTCCAGAAATATTACACGTGGAAAAACATACAATTTAACAAAAACCAAACTTTTAAAAGCAAACCTCATTCTTAAAAGAGAATACAGTATTAATCCCCAGAGCACATTAGAATCAAAACAGCCTCCAGATTAAACACATCTATTTCCAAACTCGGATGCAATTATCAAAACTGGCCACAATCAATGAAAGTATTAATACGTTGATCAGATATTTAGACTTGTGGTTTCACTTTATTAAAATCCATGATGGGGGAGGGGGACTCTTTTTCACTCAAGTAAATTTTAGACTTCTTTAAAAGAATCTTTTGTACAAGTCATACCTCTGACAAAGAACAATCTTAAATGTGTTTGGGCTTTGGTTTGTTTTTTGTTTTTTTTGGCACTACCTACCATACATATTGGGGACGTGGTGGCGCTGCGGGTTAAACTGCAGAAGCGTCTGTGCTGCAAGGTCAGAAGACCAGCCATTGTAAGATCGAATCCACACAATGGAGTGAGCTCCTGTCGCTTGTCCCAGCTCCTGCCAACCTAGCCATTCGAAACCATGTACAGTGGGGTCTCTACTTAAGAACAATCCAACTTAAGAACAGCTCCATTTGCTAAATTTTGCTTCTACTTGAGAACAGAAATCCAAGATAAGAACAGGAAAAAAACCTTTCCTGCTCTTTTTTTAACCTTAGGTCATCTTAGGTTAAAAAAAAATTCTCCCCCTAGTGGTAGAGTACGTATTAACCAGCTTTGCATTAGTTCCTATGGGAACTAATGCTTCAATGTACGAACACACCTCTACATAACAAAAAAACAGCCAGAACGGATTAATTGGTTTTCAGTCCATTCCTATGGGAAATGCAGATTCAACATAAGAACTTTTCAACTTGAGAACCACCTTCCAATACGGATTAAGTTCTTAAGTAGAGACCCCACTGTAAATGCAAGTAGATAAATAGGTATCACCACAGCGGGAAGGTAATGGTGTTCCGTGTCTAGTCGTGCTGGCCATGTGACCACGGAAACTGTCTTCGGACAAACGCTGGCTCTATGGCTTGGAAATGGGGATGAGCACTGCACCCACGAGTCGGACATGACTAGACAATTTGTCAAGGGGAACCTTTACCTTTTACCATACATATTAACTGGCAACTGCAGCTCTTTAAATCTACAGAACATTCTCAAACTGATAATTCAAAGTTGGAAATGCCAGAAGCAGAGATTTGGAGCTTGGAATCTATACTACTGAACCTTATAGGTAGGCGTGACTTGGAAAATGGAGGAAAATTACCAAGGGGTATTCTGCCAGTAAATTTTCAGTTGTCTCCTACTCACTTCCATTTAAAGGATTGAAGATAAAATCCACACACACCCCTTTTTGTCACCTGGTTGCAAAAAAGCCTTGGGTTTATGATGATCTGTGCCCAAACATTCCTACTTGTCTTCTCTGTAAGGAAAAGAATCTCTTCAAGAAATCTTTAAAACCATTTCAAGAATATTTAAGAAATCTACTTCTCAGGTGGAGCTGATCTTCTGCTACCTGAACAACCAAAAGCTTCTTGGTAAGAGGCTCCAATCATGGGCACAACTGCCTTCACTGGGAAATGCTACCGCACAAAAACTTGGGGGAAAAAAAGCCACAGCAAGACTACCAAAAGGAAGGAGAAGGTATGGAAAGTAATGGGAAATGACACTGAAACCATCAATGGAGAACCCGATATTTTACATAAGTGGTGCTCTGCCTGAATAAGCCTTTGCTCCTGAAATGTGAGAGGATAACATTCTGCCTTGGTAACTCTGCATGTCATAGGCATCCTTCAGTCTCGAGAGACTATGGTAACGTGCTCTATATGGAGGACTTGGAACAGTGTCTAGTGTTTTGACGCTGTATGCAAAGCCGGAGTGTCCTCTCCAGGGCACGAAACCTGGGTAAAATAATGTGGAGAATAGGCTGTTACCCAACCAACAAATCCCCCCTCTCCACGTCACTGAAATAGTCCAGTGGAAAGGCAAGAGCCAATCTCCCAATAAAGCAGGACTGGGCAACCTCTGGAGGTCCAGGGGTCATTTCTGCTTTCACCCAGACCTTACAAAAATCTTACAAAATGGCAAAGCACATTCTCTGGGCCTATGATTTGCCCTTTAAGCAAATTTAGCCACCTCCCAGAATTTTTATTTTTAAAGGAATAAGATATGAAAAATATTGTCTTAGTAACATGTTAGTAACATCCTCCCAGAATTTTTATTTTTAAAGGAATATGAAAAATATTTTTTTTTCAAAAATAAAAATACTGTCTTAGTAACACGTTAGTAACACGCTACTCATAAAATAGTGAAAAACATAAACATGGTAAGCAGTTTTTGAAGCAATAATTAACACTCAAGAGAGTTAAACATTATTCCAAGTTCTGAATTCTACAGTGCTATCTTCATGACGAAAACTTGTTACCGGATGTATCGCGAGATAAGAATTTACCACACTGAGTGAAAAAGGCAACCTCAAAGGAGCTATTTTCAGTCTTCAGTGAGAAGTAACTGGTTCCTATGAAATATTACTAGGAAAGATTAAAGAAACACCATTTGCAATGACTTTGCTATATCAAACATAAAACATAGGAGTCAGTTTCCTTCCCTTAGCATTGTGTAAGTCAGCAAAGTGTGACAGGCTAAGTGAGTATGTTGTAAAGCATGTTGTATTTTCAATCACCTTTAAACCATAGGTAGAACCCTGTCAGGATTGTTTTCTGAAGTAAATGCGATTGCACCTCCGCTACCATGTATTTAATGTGGCCCTCCAAATATTTAAGAAAATGCCTCTCTCTGGACACTCACACTGAACAAAGAGCATCTTCTCTAACAGGTTAAAGCACATTGGCAAATGAAGGCCAAATAAGAAAATGATCGACAGGGTGCAAAAGTAGTGGCTGGATGTATTATCACAATGCCTGGTTAAACTGCGTGTGTAAATTTATTCACTTTGAAACTACAAGAGCAAAGGAAGACAAATGAGGTAACTGTGAACTGTACAAATTATGTAGCAAGACCCAGAGGTGGAAAGGCAGGAAATGTTACTGCTTTAAATCTTTCTAGAACAAACACTGGTTCATTCCAAAAGTTTTTTTAAAAAGAAAATGTGAAACGTTTTTATGTGAATCTTTAAATGTCTTTCATCTCTAGACATCTTTAGTGTCTCCCACCAGGACAAGACTCTAGCTAGACATCACTTAATAGACTTCGAAGTGAAGTATAGGAAGATCAAAGAGCAGTCAGATAAAATGGGGCTACTTGGATAAAGGACAACTTTTCTGTGACTGCGGAGAAATTCAATCAATGCAGCACTTGTACGTGCTTGCAGTTCACGCCCCACTGTGTGTAAAAAGTATCTACAAAATGCCTGAGATGATGCTTTTGAAGTACCCACTTCTGGTCAAAAACAGCTTAATTATCTGAACATTAATTACCTTAATTTGTTTTTTAATTTTACTTATGTTTCATATATGTCCATAATTTGAAAAGTATGCAAAGCTCTGATGTGAAGAAAGCCTGTAAACTGTTTCAAATCTCAAACTACACAGCTGGGAAGTCAACATCTTACAGAGCACACCAGAGGGTTCTGTGTTTCCAATTTTCAGAATCTTCCAATGGACCACTGGCCATGTGGCTTTGGTGGAGGCAGGGGAGTCGGCAGAATTTGCAATACCATCTTAGGCCACAAGGATGGCCAGTGAGCCAGAACGCCGCCCACTTGGTTACACCCCTTTGGCATTATGCTACTTAAAAAGTACCAGGCAGGGCAATATGTGTGTGAACTGCCCTTTTCCATCGGGTTGTTTACTATTCACTTCTCTGTTCACCCACGCAAAGCACATACACTTAGATGAACTGTTCCTTTTTTTTGTCTTTAAATAGGGGAGAGAAAAAGCATGGCCCTTCCTCTGTTCTTAACTGCTGTTCCCATCAGCTGCATTCAGAATAGTTGAAAGAGAAATGTGATGGGAACTGTACTTCAGTAAGATTGGGGGGGGGGGGGGTTCACAGTATTTCAGCCCTGCGTTGCACTGCACTTGGGAAACTTCAAGGCATGGATCATTCCTGGGTAGAATTATTATAGAGATTTGACGACATTTCAGGACCACTCATCTTGTAAACTGGGGATGGCCAACCAGCAGGTCAATTTCAACCCCTACTGTCATTCCATGATTCAGCTCCTGCCATGCCTTCTTGAGCTAGGTACGTAGCCTCAGGCAGTGGTCCCCAATCGTGGACCTCCAGATGTTCTTGGACTTCAACTCCCAGAAATCCTGGCCAGCAGAGGTGGTGGTGTAGACTTCTGGGAGTTGTAGTCCAAGAACATCTGGAGGCCCAAGGTCAGGGACCACTGACCTAAGGCATTCCTTCACTGTAAGCAGGCCCCCTTTCTGTTATGAAGAGAGGTTACTCCAGAATGGACAGCATAAAAAGCAATTTAAGTCACAGGCTGCTTTTTGGCTAGGGCGACATCCCTTTTCTGGGTAAGATGCAGAGACAGGAAGGGAAGTCAGTTTATTCATCATACGTGGCTCAACTCTCTGCTGCTGATCTATGTATTTGGCAGGTGCAAGGAAGGCCAGAGAGAGGTGATGATGACACACCTAGGCCAGAGAGCATCTGACTCCCCAAGGAAGAAAGATTTGGCCATTATTATTTTAAACCAAGCAACCTGTATGTGGTCTTTTAGCTTTGCTTCTTTCATTATGGGAACCTACTCCATAGAATTGGGATGTGGGTCAGGATTCAATCCTTTTATCTCAATAGTTTCAAAAGAACTACATAATCAAAGACAAGTTTTGGTATTGGCTGCATTCACTGTATCTAGTATTTAAATACGATACACGCAGATTAAGTTTAATATAAAAACATACTCCAGACCCAAATTCCCTGAACACAGCTAGAGATACACATTCAATAGGACTTCTGTAAACCTAAGCACACAGGCTCCATATGTAACAAAGATATTCTTTTCTTCTATTCCCCTTTTTAAAAAAAAACCCACAAAACCCTTCAAGCAATCCTCACCCTCTACTGGTTCTGTCCTTTGGTATCTTTTATCCCCAACCCATCTTGTTTTCCTCTGAACCTTTTTCCTTATGCTTGGAGCGAGGGAAAGGGGCATGCAGTTTTGCAACAGGTACAGTGTATGCACTTTCTTTTTCCATCTCATTTTGTTCTTATTTTCCTCTTGGAAACAGGAAGGAAACATTTTTTAAAATTTTTTCCCCTAAAAATTCATTTCCATCCTTAAGAGGATTTTTGGAATCAAAACATAAGGCAATTCAGCACAAGAGTCCCCTTGGATCACGCGCTCCGATCAGCACAGGTGTAAAGGACGGCTCATCCGTTTTGCGTGGGCTGGGTGCCTCCCGATTTTGGGAGCGGCTCGTCCGTCTCTGCGAACCGAGGAGCGAGTCCTCTCCCCCTTTCCAGGCGGGCTGAATTCTAAAATGGCGGTCGCTAGAATCAAGAGGGTCAGCACCAGGCGTTTGGCACAGTGCAGCCAGATGGATGTTCCCACTATCCCTAAAACGGACAATTCAGTCTGATTTTGAGAGTTTACGCCTCACGTGGCGTGGAGGCTCCCAATTGTCGCTGTCATCCGTTTCATCTTCATCTTCATCGTCATCTTCATCACCCTGGTCCTCCAACGGCTCTTCTTCTTCCTCTTGTTCCTCAAACAACTCAAGGCCTAATTCATCTCTTCTCTGCTTATCCGCAAACCACTCTCTCACCTGCTCATACCCCATGTGCGATTTGGCAACGAGCTCATCAAGGTCCTGTTCATTGAGAAATTTGTGTTTTAGGTAATAATCCTTAAGGATGGCTTTTCCAGTTTTAAACTTGATGACGGGCGTTCTGTCCCAGTGTTTAACCCTCTTACTGGCCCTTGGCCGCCCACGAGGCCTCCCCCTCCCCCTCCCCTTTGGTCTTCCTCTTCCTCTTCTTCTAGAATGGCCTTGACCATTCATGCTACTAGCCTTGGCCCCCTGGTAGTAATAGTACCATTTCAAGCCGCCATTTTTCCAAGCATATCTAGTATCTCCAAACCAACTAACAATCTCTGACCGAGGAAGTCCAGTTTCTTCTGCCAACTTGTCATATTCCTCTCCTGATGGCCACTGAGTCCGGACGAACGACATTTTCAGCATATGTAACTGTTCAGGTGATTTTTTACCCAGTTTCCCCGGTTTCTGTACTCCAGCTCCTTCTCCCCCCAAGGATTCTGCAACGGATGTTTCCTTCAGGTTCCCCGTATTATTTTCACCGACTTCCTCATTCTCCTCATGTAGAGCACTGGACTTTTTCTGTTCTGCAAACCAGGCATCAACCTCTCGCCTGGTCAACTTTGTTTCCAACCTTATCCTATTGAGTTCATCATCTGTAAGGACGGGATTGTTGCTGAAACTATCTTGGAGGATCTTGAGTTGCTCAGCTGTCTTCTCTTTGAATTTCTGAGGGCTAAAATCAGAGGCACTCCATGAGTGTTTCTGCTGGGCCTGCATCGGGGGGTCGTTTGTTTCATCACTTGAATCAATAATAATAGTGCAAGAATCGTTGTTGAGATGATTATAATGGTTGTGCTTTGAGTTCCGCTGATTATATCGGGTGTCGCTGAACCATTTCTTGATCTCTCCTTTAGTCAGGCCTGTACTTTTCATGAGTCTCACGATCTCCGAATCAAGAGGAAAGTGACTCTTAAGATAGCTGATCTTTAATTCTGTCAGCTGTTCCTTGGTTTTCTTTGTACGGCCCCCAACCGTGTCCACACTGGCAGCGGCCGCCACCACCTCCGATTTGGTGAGCTGAGGAGCCGGGATCGCAGCAATCTGCTTGGTTTCAGTTGCCGGCTGAGTGGCTTGAACTTGTGCTTTCTGCAGCTGGGTTTGATTTGGGACTCCTGCCACGGCCAAAGCGATGGGGGCTGTCACTGGAAGTGCGCCGGCACCTGTGACCTGCGTAAGGACAAGGCCCGGCTGGCCAACTATTTGACAGGTCTGCAAAATGGAAGGCAGGCCGTTGCTAGCTGCCGAAATGTGTGCCGGAATCACAGTAATGGTCTGAGGGACCGTATGCACAGTGCCATTGAATTGCTTCCTCCTGGCTTCTTCTACCTCCTCTGGGGTCCAGCTGACCCCATGTTTCAGGCGCTGGGCAGAGAACCAGATTTTGATCTGTTCCTCAGTATATTTCGCTTGAGTCGCTAGAAGTGCAATTTCTGACACGGTCGGGTAAGGAAACTTGTTGTAGGTGTTCAGCAAAAGAGGGTTGTTATCCAGAGCAGTATTGTAGGTTGGAATGCTATTAATGGGAATCAAGACTTTAGAAATCAAGCTGGAGTTTGGCGGTGATGCGATCGTAGTAATCACTTGGGTCGGCTGAATCACTGTTGTTGGATTCACCACTGTGCCGACTGTTTCTGCAGCTGGTGTTTTATTTGCATTGCATTCAGACACTGCAGATGCTGGTTTTTCTGTTACTTCCTCACACTCTGGGTCCGTTTCAGCGTCGTTTTCTTCCGCAGGACCGTCCTCGGCCGCGTTGTGGAAAACAGCGATTCGCTTTGTTTCGTTCTTATTCTTCATCATTTTCATAATGGGGGTTTTGCTTATGGAGATGCTCGACAGAGGGCCCTCAGGCCCTTCCGTTTCTTCCGCTTTCTCCTCCTGTACAAAACTTCCGTCGAAAGTGAGATCGTTCACCGTCTGCTCAAAGATGGTCTGGTTGTTTCGCTTCACCATGGTCAGTTTAAAATTGTCCTCTCCAGGGTGGTACTTGGTGTTGTGCTCCGAGAGAGCATCGTACCTCTTGGTAACAAACTTGCATTCCAGGCAAATGTAGGAGGAGCTTAATACAATATGTGGATGCTCGGAATCCACGTGGAAAGTAAACATGTTGAGATCGGTAGTCTGAAATGTGCAGTATTTGCATTCATAGCCACCTTCAATTTTTTTATCCAGCTGATTGTCCGAGTCCCCATTTTCCCGAGAATCCTCATCACTTGACAGGCTTCCCGCAGGCGTATTGGCAGGTGGCAGGTCTGCAAAATGTTCTTCAATGTCAGAGAGAGCTTCGACCTCTGGCTCCGTCTCTCGTGCTAGGACCATGCAGGGTGTCGTGGATTTTCGCTTACTTGCCATGCTGTTGCGGTGAAAACACAAGAAGACACGGATCCTAAACCTTCTACTTTTCTGGAGGCTTGAATTACTTCTAAATCTACATCAATGCAGAGTGTTTAGTCCACCAGCAGCGTTCTCATAGTGCAACTTGGGAAAACAGTCACTTGCAACCCAACGGATAAAAGTAGCAGCAGCAGCAGCAACTTCTTAACATCTGCACCCGCCACCTGTATTTGAAAAGAAAAGGAAAGGGTTTAAAGGATTTGCTTCCATTGCATGAAGTCAAATGCCTTTGTATATCCTGAGTGGCATATATTACACTGGGCCATTTCAATTGCAAAGAGGATTATAGCCTTCCCAAAATGGAGGCACTTCACAAGCCAAATGTAGCTCATCAACCATGCACTTGAAGCTCACTGGGTCTTAATAAGCATCCTCCCCATTACTTTGAACTAGATGAGGGGTGGGCAACTGTATTTCTAGCCTGCAACTCTCATAATCCCTCACCACTGAGATGCTAGTTAATGCTGCTAGGAGATATACATCAGAAACACCACAACTGCCCACCCCAAGCTGGAACAACGGACATGACAAATGCTGTGGTTACTGGACTTTATCCTCCATGGTGGGACAAAATCTCTATAGGGCTGGAATAAAATCCCGTGCTTCAAAGACATCAATCACATAGACTGGAGAAAAGGGATTCCCATAGAAATGAACCACTGGAAGCTCCCCTCTTTTATCAGATCTGTTGACTGTAATAAAGGAATTGAATTGCCCTCTACCAGGCCAGACGATCAGCAACTGCCTAGTGTCTCCTACAAAGAATATTTTCTTATCACCTACTACCTGATCTTTTTAAACTGTAGACACTAAAGACTGAAGCTGAGACCTTCTGAATGCAAGATTTGTATGCTACCCATAAGCTATGGTCTTCTCCTTCAAGCAGAGGTGGGCAACCTGTGGATGTCCAGATGCTCTTGAACTGCAACTCACGTCAGTATCACAAAACAGTTAATATACCAATAACATAAACACACTCCTACTAGTCACAATTTCTTCTTATGTAGCAGGGGCTTACAACTACTTTTAGTCTGCAGGCATTTGTTATTATTAGGCACCATTTATTGGTGTCATTTTCACCTGCAGATGCTTTTGTACTGCTGTGTGTGAAACTAAGCTTTAACTTTTAAAATTTGGAATAGGAGAATAGTAAGTCATTTCTGAGTACTCTCTATCCAGAAAACCCTGAAAAAGGCCACATGTCAGAATTGCCTTGATGGCATCCGATTATTATTTGAAGAAGGACTAGACAGAAGTGATTTGCTATGTTGCTGGAAAACATACATAAATATGTCACCTTCATAGCTATACTGTATTCTTGCTAGTGTCAGCCATCTCTGCAGACAAAATTGCTCTCTTCCCATATATAAATGTAGCAACTCGAAAGATCAACAGATTAAAAGGCAAGAATAATCATGCCTAGATCTTAAGGCCTGCACAATGAATCACCAGCATTTTATGAAAATATGATGTAAATCTCATCCATTCAAAAACAGGGAGCTATTTCTGTCCAGTTAACAGACAGCTGATTTCTTTTGACAATGCCATTTATCATTTTTTTCACACAAAAATATGTGTCAAGCAGCTTGTGATTCAGTATAGAACTTAATTAAGAGTCCACACCTGTCTTTGCTCTATGTGGTTTCTTTATTGTATTAATATCATTATATTAAGTGGTATGTATAAACATGTACCCTTTTTTTTCAGACAAGAAGTGCTTGTAGGAAGCCTCATTCCTGGTTCAACTCCATACCTTTTTCAGGGAATTCTAACATTTCAAATTACTTTCTTTAAAATAGAACAATCTTAATTCATTTGAAAGGCATTTAAAAATAAACCGAGTCATGGGTCTTATGTCCTATCTTACACAGCCTGGGTAACTTGAAAGACCTTTTTCTAATGTACTTGTGAATGGCAGAGTTCTGAATAATACCAGAGGCCATGCTGGGTGTGGGAATTGCAGTCCAAAAGAGAGACACAGATTTTCCCAAGCTTTTTTTGAAGAGAAAACCTTGAGCTCATTCCTAGGAACCTGCCTTACACCAAGTCAATTTCTAGTCTTGTCTAATCTAACTGGAAGCTTCCCTCCAGAATCTCAAGCAGAGAAAAATGTTAGTCCAACCTTCTTAGTAAGACCAGGGATGAATTTGAGACCTGCAGCATCTTACATTTATAATGTTACTGAGCTATGGTTTTATTCTGGCAGAACGAAAGTTTAAAGTGGTGCCAAAACTGTAATCATCTGGACCTGTAATGTGGAACATAAATTATTCCAACACTTTTTCCTTGTTTAATTTATTTTTCATAGATATTGCCCCCTGCCCCCAAATTACACTGTTCAAAATGTTTCAGACATCCATTAGAAAGGTACTTAATGTAGTTTTGAATAAGATACATTTCAAGTTAACACTAAACTAAGCCATATCCAGGCAATTCTGCCAATGAAAATGAACCTGGAATGAGAGAGTGTTAATTCTACTGGGAGTAAATGAAGTGGCAAGCACAACAGTTTGCTGACCATGCTAGAGGCAATAAATCATCCAGGATTCATACGACACAGGTCCTTTTAGCCTCGGAGTGTTAATTCTACTGGGAGTAAATGAAGGGGCAAGCACAACAGTTTGCTGACCATACTAGAGGCAATAAATCGTCCAGGATTCATACGACACAGGTCCTTTTTGCCTCAGAAGTGCTTAGTCCTTGCCCTATGGACAAGCTCGACCTGAAAAAGAAATCTTGCCTGCCTACAAGACAATAAACCATTGACTGTGGTAGTCCTTGCCCTATGGACAAGCTCGACCTCTTGCCTGCCTACAAGGCAATAAACCATTGACTGTGTGCTTCCTTAGACAGCACAACAGACAGATCAGGTAGGACATCTCTGTTATAGTAGCAATTAGTGACCTTTCCAATCCTTACTGAATTTAGGTGCAATCCTGTTGTTCAAAAGGTAAGTCCTGAGTTAATTATATTTGTTTTATTAAGAAAACAAGATAGTTCTATTAAAGTACAGTTGCAGGTTTAAAAGCATAAAGCATATACATATCCAAACAGTTACTATTATTCAATAAGCTTACTATTCTTAGGTTAAAATAGTAACAACTAAAAAACTATGCTAAGTAATCATCTTGATAAACATTCTGCATATCAGCATACTAGAGAAGCTGGGCGAATCTCTCTCTCCCTTTCTTTCTCTTTTTAAAAGACAAACCTCTCTCTTCTTCCATCAATCTGTCACATATATGAAACAACCATTTTTCTACTTGTCTCTAGACCACCTTCTTTCTGACACTTTCAAGCTGTTAACCAATTAGGATTGTGAGGCCGTAAGAAAGTTCACCGCCCCTATTTCACATGAGATCCTGCAGGTGGTTATCTCGTCCCAATTAAGAGGAATGTGGTGTTTGGTCTTCCTCTGATCTTCTCAAACCTTGTTCCTTATCTTGGTGCAAGGCAGAGCAAACTTGAAATACAATCCCATGAGAACACTCAGTGGCTTAAATCCAAACTACACAGAAAACCTAACAGATGACAGCTTTGTATAACTACAAGTCCCATATGCCTTCTAATTCCTTACAGATAGTGGTGTGATTTCTGAGATCTGCAACTGCTTATAGTACTGCGTGAAATGTATTGATATTGTTCCCAAAGCCCCAATGACTACAGGGCCCACTAAAGTGTGTTTCTTCCAGAGGTGAGATGTCTTGATTGCCAGGTCTCTGTACTTTGTTAGTTTTTCCAATTCTTTATTTTCAACGCTGGCATCTCCTGGAATTGCATTGTCAATGATCCTGACATTTCTTCGTTCTATTACCACTATGTCTGGAGTGTTATGCCTAAGGTATCTATTAGTTTGGATGATGATGATGATTAAAAAGGGAAGTCATAGCAACCAATTGCTAATGTGTCCCATCCCACAGTTTGACAGGACAGCTCCAGGACACATAATAATGGGCTCAAGTTACGGCATTATATAACAAATATTCTTATTCCTATTCCTCTCATCATCATTTTGCTGTTGGGAAACCGAATAGGCTTTCTGGGAATCATAGCAGGGATGAAAGAAGCACTGTGTTTGTGTTAAGGGAGGAATCTGAGGCAGAAGAAAGAGAAAGAGAAGATCCATTATGAGAGACAGATGAAAATTCAAGAGGAACTATTCTAAAGAACGGACTGACAGAAGAAGGAAAGAAGGCATGAGTCAGAAGGGGGAAATTGAGAGGTTTAAGCAAAAGGCAGTAGTGTTGGTCAGAGAAGAGGTCAAAAAAAGCAGAATAAAAGTTAAAGACTGGGGAAGTTACTTGCTTACAATATAATTTCCAAAATTCTTCATCCTAAGCTTTGAAATTCTGAGAGCTGTTCTTGGAAACAGTCTTAAAAAAGGAAGCCAAACTGTGGGACTGACTCAAATGTTTTGAGGCGCAGAGTGCTGAAGGACCAAAGTGAGGCTGGGGGCAGGTGGACAGGGAAGGCTGAGGAGAAGACAACGACAACGGTCAAGGTGAGAAGCAGCAACAGTCTTAGCTAACTGGGCAGTTAAGACTAACGAACATCAAAAGGCAAACCAGGCACAGTACAAAAATACCTATCACCGTGGGCAGATGTGTTCCTCCAGAGGTGCTGCATTTATGATCTCATTTTGGGTCCCCTCAGAGACTCCAGATCTTCATAGCTCTCAGTTCTTGGAGGCAGAAGGAGGAACATCATGTATATCACACAGTGACTGCAGGCGTTGCAGAAAACATTCTGGAAAAAAGCAAAACCACAGGCACTCATAATAGAAATATTCCCACAGACTATTTTTGCATCCAGCTTTGAAGCCCAAAAGTGAGGGACCCACTTTCACTCTTGCAAAGGGCTGTGGCCTCCTCAGAAAAGTTATGAGGGAGGACAGTGAAAAGTGAGGGGTACCAGCTCCGACACCTGGCAGGGGAGAGGCCAAAAGATTCATAGTTTACTGCACTTTGAGGCAGCATCTTTTCTTCTGCATCCCATTCCCTAAAGAAGTCAAGTTGCCAGCTGCCAAGTTCCTCACCTCAGGGGTAGTTTTGTACTCAGTTCCAGAACTGTCAGGCAATTCACAGAACAAGCATGCCTCAGGGATCCTTAAGGATCTTAATACACTACCTATAATACTTTACAGCTTTCAATACACTTTGTCCTGTGGATTGAGACAAAAGGGGAACATTTGAGACAACATGCGTTGAGACAAAAGGGAATCAATGTTCCAATTGTTTCTCAACCATGATGTCATTAGAGATCTGGGCAAATTACTCAAACCCAAATTAAGCTTGTTGTTATTAAAATAACTAAATTAATTGCTGGTGCCTCGCCTTTGGAGGAAAGGTACCACACAATTGTGACAAATTTTAATCCAGGCCACAGTTTCTAGCTCATACCTCCCCACCCCATGCAACATACACCCCCCTTAAAAAACTGCACCCCCTTTCAATCTACTTTGTAGGGTACGTACAAAATGGAGACAACAGCTCATGTATAGCTCAGTGACGGCAGATAGGAACTTTTTAGGGCTGTTATCTGTACCATTTCGGAAAGATAAAATAATTTTGCAGTACCCTTTTGCATAAGACAGAGGGAAACAAAATAACAACCAAGAGGGGTGTGTGTGTATGTTCAGGATCATAACACTTGTTTTTAAGTGAAGATCTTCCTCTATAACAGGGCCTAAATTTTAGCTGCTAACTCTTCTTGTTTTATAGTTTCTAGAATCCTCTCCAATCCTCCCAAGGAGGGAACACAACCTGCATCCATCAAACAATGAAAGCAATGAGCAGGGACGGGAAAGCTGAGACCCAACTGCCTCTTTTCCACCTCCAAAATTAGGTCTAAATTTGCGACTGGAGATCAAGGCTTCAATATGTCTTTTCTGGGGGTGGGAGTTCGCCCTCTCGCCGTTTTCCTCGCCAGCTCTCCCCACAAACAGCACAAAGGAGCGGGTGGGGGGGCACGGATAAGGGGGTTGCCCCCCCTTTCCGCACCCCACAAACCCCTTTAAGAGTCGAGGGAGGAGAGGATACAACCAATTCCCCCCCTCCAAAAAAAAAAAAATCAGATCCATGGCTGCCAGTGCTCAATGGGAGGAGAAATGTTTGCTCCTGCGGCTTCTCACTGACATATATGTAGTTTTCCTCCTTAATCCGGTGGACCACTTCACGCCTCCCGGGAAGCGCTCATTGTCTGCTGATCCCAACACCAAAGTTGCTGTTTCATTTGTTTTTAAATAAATCCCTACCTTGCAAATGCCTCCAGGCTGCTCCCCAGCCCTCTCTCCTTCTTCTG